CCTGCTCCGAAGGCCGCGTTCACTCCCCCGCCGCCCGACCCGGTGCCACCGCCCCTGCTTCCGCCAGCCTTCGGGAAGCGCCCAATCGTGCTCCTCCAACTGGCCAGTTTCTCTTCCTTATACCATGCAAGACGAAATGCAAATCGCAACGAATTTGGTTCGAAAACCTTAACCGCTGCTGCGATCTCTGGTTTTAGGCCAGCCATACACAACCCAGCTAGGGTCTCCTCCGGTACTCCCTTGCATTGATTGCCCAGGTTGAAAAATTCTGCCTTGTACTCCGCTACTGTTACCGTCTGGCACAATTTAGCAAGTTGATCCGGCGCCCACCCTTCCGACTTACCAAACTGGTACCGTAGCTCTTCCTTGGACAAGGGCCAGGTGATCAAGGTCTGAGCAGCTGCGCACGATCGCTCTAGCCACTCCCACCACTGCAGCGCGTCTCCTTCTAAGTAGAAGGACGCCAGGTGCGCCTTTCTCTCTACCTTGGTGGGGTGATTCTTGAACCACCTTTCAGCTGCATACAACCAAAGACCTGCATCCTCCTGACCAGTGAATTTTGGGAATTCAATGGTAGGGGGTTTGGCCCTAAACACCATTTCACCATCAAAGCCGTGAGGGTAGCTGACATACCTGTCGTACCCCAGAGCTCAGTCACGATACTCTCGCGGAATCTGCGGCCCTCTGCTTCGACCCCACCCTTCTTCCTCCTCGAACAGGTACTCTGCACACTCGTCCGGTCCAACCTTCCAGGCCTGGCTCGCGTCCCACTGTTCTACCTGCGAGCGGGGGCCATGAAACGGCGGATAAGAGAGCTCCGAACCCCTGCCAGGCTCTCTTCTGGCTTCTGGTCCCCGACCACCCGATCCGCCCAGGAACTGATCGTACTGGTTCAGCCCACTGGTTCGTCCAACCTAAGTCGACCCGCGTCGGTTCGGCCTGTTCCGCTCCATGCGCCACGTGTCGGACCCCACCCAGGCAATCGGTCTGTTTCCCTGGTCGATCCCCGCCAAGTCGCACCCTTCCCGGTTTCGGCCCAGCCCTTTGCCTGCCTGCCTGCCCGCCCAACCCATCTCTTTTTCCTAGTTCGGGCCCAACCACCCCAGCCCGTTGGGTTCCCTGCCCTGGCCCATTGGTTCATGCGGCCCGAAACTCAACTGAGGCCTAACATCGCCATACCCTAGAATCTTCGCTTTGCCTCGCATGGCCGCGATTTCTTGGGCCGACGGGGTCGGTAGCAGACCCAACCCACGACCACGACCACGCCCACGCGCTCCCACGACCGCGCGATCTGCGCGGGGCGGCTCCTTTTCTCCCTCGACCTCCACCGCCGCCTCGCCTGTCACGCAGCCAGCTCGGCCGGGGTCGGGGTTGGCCCTGCCGCGGTCGGTCCTCCACCTGCCGCGCCGCCTCCATTGACCGCAGTCTCTGCTCCAGCCCCCTTTGCTTGCAGTGATGCAACCGCTTGCATCAAGTCCCCCAACATCTGGCGAAGACCCCCAACATTTGTCTTCGCCTCAGCCTGCACCCTTGCCAGCCCTTCCTCGAACCGAGCCAGCGCTCCGGAGTGCTCGTGCACCACCATCTTCACCGCTTCGAGATCCGTCTCGTCCTCCACCACGACGTCGAGGCCCTTGTCGCCAGCCTTGGTGGCTTTCTCGGCCGCCTGAGCCGCCTTCTCTGCTGTGGATTGAAACTTAGTCTGCACCATTGTTTTCTTACGTCTACCCTGGTTCAAGAGTTATGTGAAACTCACTCTAGAACCGTGCTATGATATTCGATGTTAGAAACCCGGTTTCTAACAGTTCACCGAATGGGAGAAAGCCAGGTCAATGAGCAAATGACCTAGCTAAGAGTTTGAAGAGAGGGAATTGAGAGATCGAGAGGGTTGGGGAAGGAGTGGTTGCCACGGCAGCTTTGGGAGAAGGAGAAGTCGAGAGAGACGTGGAAGGAGGAGGAGAGGAAGAAGAATAGGGTTTAGGAAAATGATTATGTAATTGCTTAATGGAATAATTTCCACTAATTACATATTATATAGTCCTACAAATAGCTATTTCCTACCCAACTAAAATAACATAGCAATTGACTCCCTGTTTATTCCCAAATTCCCCAAATAATCCCCCAAGAATTCAAAACCGGCAAATAATGCCAAATAACAAAAACTGCAATTAACGTGTTTCTAACAAGTGAGGAGCTTGCATTGGAAGTAATGAAGTTGGAGGATAGATTTGACGACTCGACTGTGTGTTCCTTGGATAAACTATTTCGGCTTCAACGATTCGCTTCTCCCCACCCACATCCACAAACAATCAAATGTTTCCACATTTATTATTCTTTCCTTTATCCCTCGATAACAATGGTGAACTGGAGGTGGTGGCTTGCGCTTTGTTTGGCAACTAGGGGGAGCAAATTCGAGAGCGGTGCAAATGGAGGTGTAAATTGTAGGGGGTAGATTTAAGTGGGGAGTAAGTTGGGGTGTAAGTTGTTGTTTGAGAGAAAAAGTAGGAGGGTGCAAGTTAGGGTGGTGTCTGGTTGGTTCTGGGTGCTAGGTTGGTTCAGATTTTGGGTTAGTTTTGTTTGTTTCCTTATAAATTTTGTTAATGAAGTGGGTCATGACGAGGGAAATTTCACGGAACTTTGGATGGAGATCAATAGAAAAGACCATTTAATACTATACAAGTTAGAAACTTTTGTTACCGTGTTGTTACAAGGTAAACTCTTATGACGGTCTTGTACAAACGTCAAAGATATGTGATTGTTTATGTTAAATAACCTCTATGTAGTGATTCCAAACACTTGGCTCAGCAATAAAATTATGATAATTGTGCCCATGTTGAAAATGAGCCGAGTCGAGTCTAGTTTTGCTCTAGTTTGAGATCAGCTCGTTAATAAACTAGTTGAGTTCGAACTTGACTTGTTTACAAAAATGTTGGCTTGTGTTTGACTTGAGCTAGACTCATTAACGAGCTCTACTCTTGAGCTCGTCTCATCAATTAGCTCGCGAGATCGGCTCGAACTTATGTATCATATCATTTAGTTTATAATTTATTATGTTTAATATAATGTTATTTAATAATAATAAATACGTGAGCAATCTATAAAACATAATTTATCTTTAAAATTATAAACGATTGTTTCACTTGCTCAAATTCTTAAACATCATAAGTCGTGAGATATATAATTTAATAAAAATATGAATTATCAACAAGTTAATTGTAAACTAGCTATTAATCGATTTGCTCATAAGTTGCTAGTTGATGTGTCTTGCTAGTTGTACTGTCGAGCCTGCTCATACACTCAAAATGAGCTAGCTCACGACAGTGATGGCAATTTCAACCCGCCCCGTGAGTATTACCCGACCTGCAGTAGTGCAGGCGGGGCATCGGTATCTACTTCCAATCCGCCCTGCCCCGCCCCGCCTCGTTCTAAATCCATTTTATCTCAATTTCTTATAGTATCTATACATATTTATCTTATTTTGACATTTTTTCAACTAGTTAGAGTTGATCTTTCAACTTGTTAGACTCAATTACCCATTCTATTATAACTATTTTTCATTCATAAAGTATTTTTCCCTTCGTTTTATCTTAGAAACTACAATTTGCGTGTATTTTTTCCCCCCAAATAACATGTAAGAGTGGGTCGACCCGCCCCGTCCCGCCCCCATTGCCATCACTAGCTCACGAGTTGAGGTCAACAAGCCACCGACCGAGCAGGCTCACGAGCCTTATAAACCGAACAAGGGTTAATTTAAACCCGACTCGTTAGTAAATGAACCAAGTGCTGAACCAATTTTTTCTAACCGGACGCCAAATTGCTCGTGAACGATTTGGCTGATTTGTTGCCCTAGTTGTGCCCTCCCTTCAAAACATAAACGACTGTTTATTATTCAGTTGATGTTCTTGTAATGTCAAATATATACTGTTAATCTTACCCAAAAAAAATATTATTAATTAAAAGGAGAGATGTTAGGAGTTTGACAACCAAACTGTGGACTGTAGAGAGAGGCAAACAGAAGATGGTGGGTATCTGATTGTTTGTTTATCCTGCGAGTGCGAGGTGCGGCGTCTGACCATTCAAAAGAGATAAGAGATCCATCCGCCAGACCATCCACCCAATGCTCCCGTTTGTCGCTGTCGGTGTCGTTTTTTTGGCCACACACACCACATCCCGATTCTCCTCTCTCCCTCTACGCAAAACCAAAAGAGATAAGTGGAAATATGATTAATTGATAGCTGGGCGCTACTGTTCAAAGCTTCAATTTGACTACCACAGTGTGCGTATCCTCCACTTAAAGCTGGTAAGTACACTAGCAAAAGCATAAAAATATTCTTAGCCGCGACTTGTAAAAATATTCCCAACTTGCAGATTTCGTTCAAATGGGTTGAATCATGGAGTCGTGTATTGAAAAATAATTAATTTTGCAGTAAACAAACCCAAATCGTAGGGGAAACGGTGTAGTATTTGTTGTGTACCCACAGATTAGGTCCGTTTTGAGGGTAAGTGGTAAGTAAATAACGTGAAGAAGATGGCAATCGGCAAGAAAGACCGAGAAGCCGACAGACAAGAACACCTCCCTGGTCAGCAATTTCAACATCCCACAAAATTTTTTCTACCCACAACCCAATTAAATTACATGAAAGCAACCCGTCACCAAACCAACCACCCAAATTCTACCCAATCACACTCACAGTAAAACATCAGCCACAAATGGTCAAAGAAAGCGAAGTGGTTGGTTAGTACGGGTCGGGTCGGGCCGGGAACTAGGATCAAATTTGTATGAACAATATCATTTCCCCCAAAAAAATCTGTGTACAATTCATTCTCTGCTGAAACCAAGGGAAGAAGGAAAGAAAAAAAGTATCATTAGGTCAGATCTGAAAACCCTAATTGTAGTAAATCCCCCCCAACCTGTGTACAAATCTAATCTGTCCTTTCACTCTCCAATTTTTTTCCCCCAATCGCCAATCTCTAATCACAATAATATAGTAGTAACAAGGCTATACAGGGACGAAGAACGACGGCTTCAACTTGGCCGCCTCGTAACAGAAGGGCGCCGCCGGGTGCTGCCATTTCTTGAACACGGCTGCCTTCTCCGCCTCCCCGCCGCCGCCTCTCTGCTGGTTCTGAATCTGACTCTGCTGCTGATTCGCCGACATCTCGAACTTCCGATCCACGGCGGTCGGGGAGGTGTCGAGCGGGGAGAGGAGAGGGATGGCTGCGCTCCAGAAGGAGGAAGACGCCGGGCTGATCTGCAACGACGCCGGCCTCCGCCGCTGGAGCCGGCTCGGCTGGCCGGTGCCGGAAGAAGAAGAAGAAGAAGAGATCTTACTGCTGCCGTTCCTCTGTCTGTCGGCCATTTCACGCGGCGGCGATTGTAGTATTCTCGATTGGTTTTCCGATTTCGCTTCTGGGGAGTTTTTTTTTTTTTTTCTCTCTCTTTCCTTTTGGTTGCTTCTCTGCTGGGTTGGGTTGGAATGGTTTTGGGGAATAAATAGAGGGGCAGAGGAAAAGGGGAAAGCATGTGGAGGACACGTTTGGGGAATCAGGAAAGAGGGAAAGGAAACGGAAGGGTCAAAAAGGGAAAACCGGAGTGCGAATTATTGAGTTGTCATACACGGCGTTATCTGCTTTTTTCCTTCTTTCTGTTTTAGTTTTTTTAATGTTTCGTTTTGACTCAAAAAATTTCCGATTCCAATTCAATAGCTGCCGTACTTTTATGAACGAGGAGAAAAATAAGTTTGTTAGGTTTGCCTAATAAAATAAAAAAAATTGGGGGCTAAATTTCTCCGTTGGTTATATTTTATGGGGACTTGGAAATTTAGCAACCGACTTTTGTTAGTTTTTCGTTATTATAGAACTCGGCGGAATGTTATGGAAAATCAATGGATATTGGGAATTTTATTATTTTTTTCGTAGTTAATATTAGCTCCAACAATGATCATATGCCAAGTTGGTCCTCAAACTTTGAGTATTTACTTATTGGATCTCGTCAATTGTTTTTTTCTTTCTCATGGTCATCCTTGTGACCTTATCCTCAAATCATAAATAATTTTGGTTACTTTTCCATGTATAAGGTAAAACGAATTGTCATCCATCCCTACCTTCATGGTTCAGAAAAGCATAACGTTGCATACGTCTAGGTGTTAGATGATGACAAAACACCTTGTCTAAGTCTCATGTTGCAAATAAGGAAGGCAAAGCTAGGCACGTCCGGTCATGATTAAGTGTTGTGATGTGCGATTAGCCAATTGGATATGCACTTAAATGCAACGATTTGTAAATCGTATAAAATGAAGATCAAGGTGTAATGTTTGCATTATACATTATCTTTTGCAGGTTTTGAATGTACCATAATCCGGAGAAACTGGGCTAGAAAAGATAAATGTAATAATCTGCAAAAAAAAAAAAAATGATAAATGTAACCCTAAATTATATAATAAAAATTAGAGGATGCACATCCAAGAAATCGAACCATGGTGAGTACTGTGAGGCGGTACTATGATACCACTAAACTATACGTGCAATTGCTTTTCAACTTTCAACAAAACCATTTATTACTTTGATTATGTAGCTACCGTGGAATACTCAACATATATGTAACTACGAATTTCTTAATCTTGAACGATTAAAACGTGAAACTACAAATGTCCAACTTGATGCATGGTACCATATACGATGAGAAGATGTAGATTTATGAACAGTTACAAGACAAAGCGGTTGCAAATACTATGGCCAAACACATGAAATTTTTGCACGAGTTGAAAATATGGGATGACGGTTGCATCAGCACAACCTATAATATCTTAAGTGAATCCCATATCTAGGAAATTAACATTCAAACACCTAGTCAAAAACTTGACAAATGTAATATCGTTTTTCGTCATGGCTTGCGATCGTTGGAGTCAAATTAGAATAAAAAAATTTGTACACGAGTTATAGTTGTTTTTTTTTTTTTTAATAAATAGTTATAGTTATGGACCTCTCCCAATGTGTGACGAACAAAACTTCACCTGAATTCAACAATCTTAATCAATGTACCCTCATTCAAACATCATTCATGACATTTTTTAAAAATTTAATGACGTCATCTTTCTGTTCATGCAACAAAAACGAGTGAATGGGTGGTGCTGATAATTATGGAGCATTGTATTTTATTTTGCTTTCTTTGGTAGGAAGAATAATTACATCAGGTAAAAACCGCTTGCAGGAGCCGGGGATGAGATGTGAGATATACGCACGCTGGCACAGGCAGTTGGGAAAACGAGTACATCCAACTTGGCGCAAAAATATACACACGCTGAGCCAGCTAGCAAACCAAACCAAACTAAACACACGCCCTTCCCTTCTTTGATCTTTCCTACCTCTCACACTCTAAGCTCCAGATTCATTCACAAGAAGCTGATATCATTTTTGCACTTATGAATTATGATCCTCCTAACACAAGGTTTGGCAATTAGGGGAGTGTAAATAAAATAGGATGCAAGCTTAAGGGGAAATTTTAGGGGTTATAAATTGGTGGGGGCGTAAGTATTCAGACAAATTGTTTTTTGAAATGAAATAATAGGAGAGTGCAGATAGGGTGAAAGGTGAATAAATTATATTATTATAAAATAGGTTTAGCAAATTTATACAAGATCATCTCAAAATAATAAAAATAAAAACTATATATAACGATCATAAATATTAATAAATATACTTTAACACAAAAAATTAAGGTAGTAATGTTTAAATAGTAATAATCATTAGTCAATTACTAGGAAAAAAATCATCAATCGAGCAACCTCGAAACTCAAAGCCTAATTTATGACCAAAATATATAGCTAGCTCTTGTCTCGCACTCGGGACATTGATATGTCAGCATGGTGATTAAACTTATGCGGAACTGAAATATCAAATTGGTTTAATTATAACGAGTCATCCTATAGGAAATTCGTGCCCAATCCAACCGTGACCATCCGAATTACGTCCACATTAATAATTAGGACTTTGCTACGGTGACATGCATGTCATGGTGACATGCACTTTTCGGTCGACCTCATATAGGATCAGGTCGACCTAATCAGTTGTTTCAGTGTACAAACAGTTTCATGGTGCCTACTTTGGAGATTCATATCTTACAATTGGCTAGATGGAAATTGGAGATTAAAGGCTTGTTTTGAAGCTGAAGTGTCCCTCTACACATTAAAGTACTTGGGAGCTCAATAGAAAGTCCAGAAGACCATTTTTGAACCTGACCAAAAGGCTATGCCAAAACTGGGAAACTGCCTGAAAATGGCTAAGTCTGGCAACGTGTTTGTCAAGTCTACTTTGGAGCTCAATTTGACAAGCATGGATGCGAGTCAAGTCCAGGGGCCTTTACCATGTTAAATTACGTATTTTTTTATACAAAGGCAAGGCATTGAATGAAAGATTGAATATATTTAAGGCTTCAAACAAAAGGCTCGAAGTTGCTAGGAAGGCTGTTTTTCTGGCAGCTTGCTTGTGCTCGAAGTCTGCCAGAAAAACAGCCTTCGTAGCAACTTCGACCCTTTTGTTTGAAGCCTTAAAGATATCCAATATTTCATCAAATTCCTTGAATTTGTATAAACACATACCTAATTTAACGTGGTAGAGGCTCCTGGACTCGACTCGCATTCATGCTTCTCGAATTGAGCTAAAAAATAGGCTTCACAAACACGTTTCCAGACTTGCCATTTCTAGGCAGTTTCCCAGTTTTGGCATAGCCTTTTGATGAGGTTCAAAAATGGTCTTCTGGACTTCCTATCGAGCTCTCAATCACTTCAATATGTAGAGGGACACTCCAGCTTCAAAACTAGTCATTAGTCTTCAATTTCCATCTAGCCAATTGTATGATATGAATATCCAAAGTAGGCACCATGAACTGTTTTTACACTGAAACAACATATTAGGTCGACCGGATCCTATATGAGGTCGACCGAATCCTAAATGAGGTCGACCGAATTCTATGTGAGGTCGACCTAATCCTAACTGAGGTCGACCGGAAAGTGCAAGTCACCGTGACATGCATGTCACCGTAGGCACACCCTAATAATTATTATAATAAATAAATGACAATGGATTTGACGTGTGGATAAAAAGGCAGAGAACATTCGATCAACCAAAACAAAAGGAAAAGCATAGGCGAACATAAATACATAATTCTAGTAAATAAAGAATAATTTGAGAGTGGGAATTTTTTTTTTTTTTTGGTTAAATAGAGTGGGAAATTTTGGATGAGGGTCGGCCGTCGGGTGGAGGAAATACGGAGGGAGCAATGCAGCGTCAGCAAAGCAAACCCTATACACATGAACATGATACGAATACGATAGGAATCCCGCAAAAAGCGGTCAAAGATTGTGTTTTTCCTTTGCGATGAGTTGGCAGTCCTGACACCTCACACTAGTCTGCATTCTGCACACTCCCACTTGACTTCACCACCACACTTTGCTGTGATTCTAATCTTCCTTCCTTCCATTTCCTCCCAAAGTATTACTAAGTATTGTTGTTGTGTGGTGTTGGCATGGTCATTGAGATTCAGATCCCTCTAGTTTGCTTTTTTGCAAAGAGGTCAGGTTAGTCTAAAAGAATTTACATTCCTAAAGTGGTCATTTGCACTCAACATCTTGTTTCGCTATCAATGGTTGGTCAAACAAAGGTTATCGTTCACAAATTGTTCCAAATTTGATTCATATTCCGACAATTTAGTGATACCATCATACAAAATGAAATGGGTTTATCCTTTGGTTAGTGGAATTACTTGCCTTTTTAAGGGGAAACGACTGTCTTTTATACAATAGACTGTGAACTTCCCTTTAGCTTCACAATAAGGATATTGAGTAAAAAAGCGTCGTTATAGTTTTCTCCCATTTATTTAGTTATCTAAATATGCACAATATAACAATTTTTTCTCGTTTAGGGAGAGACTTTTTGAGTGAAAGAGTGTATTTAGAGTTTTCCAGAGAGGCACCTCGGAGATCATCATAGTGAGTAAATTGATCGAGTTGAGAGTTTCCAAGGAGAAAGAATTGACTCTATGGGTCTTGAAAATCTTTGTTGGTCAGCCTTCTGCAGCTAGTTGTGAGGGTGGGTTCTTTTCTACCTATTCTGGAGAGGACATTTCGTCGTGTTCCACAAGAATGATGGCGGAAGATGTACGTGAGATACATGCAGCGACAGAAATCGAGCTACAATTACAAAAGATACAGATCGGTGAGGAAGATGATGAACCATCAATTGTTGAAGAGAGGGATAAAATAGCAGGTCTATTCTTAGTTGTCTAAAAATTAAGGTTAGTTGAGCGATTAGTAGCCCTTCAAAATCCTAATATTGATGAAAATAGCAGTCACCAAGGCATTGA